CCCTGCTCCACCTCCAGAGTGGTGCCACACTGTCACCTCCTTAACAAGCATTTTCTTCCCTAGAGGGTGATGTGGAGCCTATGTTAGACCCCTCTTTAACTTACTTTCTAGATCTGGTCTCTTGTGTGTGCATGTGTATGTGTGTGTGCGCGCTGGTCCTGGGCCTTGAACTCAGGGCCTGGGTGGTTTCCCTGAGCTTTTTTGCTCAAGGCTAATGCTTTACTGCTTGACCCACAGCCCCACTTTAAGCGGGGGTTATTTTGTGGGGGGAGGGTAAGAGGGTAAGTGGAGATAAGTCTCTCATGGACTACCCTGTTTGGCTGGCTTTGAGCCACGATCCACAGATCTCAGCCTCCTGAGTAGCTAGGATTACAGGCAGGAGCCACTGGCGCCTGGCATCTCTTGTCTTTGTATAGAGGTTTCCAGTGGGATCTCTAGAGAAATATCATCTAGAGTATTCATCTCTTCCTTTTCCATTTAAGTTTGTAGAGTTCACTCTTTTCCTGTTAGGGTGAAGATACATATTAGACTTATGTGGTTATATTTGTTTGGTTGATTCCTCTAGCTTACTGTGAGCTGTAAGAAGACATCAAGCACATGACAGCCACTGTCCTTAACTGTCTCTCAGTCCCTCCACATGTATGTTTACAGGTCATTTAGCTGGAATGTAGCACATGCTTGTGAACTTCAATGAAAGGAGAAACAAAAAACAAAAGAAGCATTTGATTTACAGTGTCCCAATTTTGGGATGATTCTGCCCATGAATGTAGAGATTCTCTAGGCAGTTAACTAATTGGCCTGGGTCTCAAGTAGGAGATTAGGAATTATTGCTTGTGAACCTCTGGCAAAGTGACCTGGAATTAGTCTTAAATTCCTCTGTGGAATTCCTGCCTTCATCTAAGTCCTGCTTATGTATCAACTTCATCAGCATATACAGGCTTTAGGAATCAGATATTAGCCGGTTGTGCTGGTGGCTCATGCCTTTAATCCTAGCTACTCAGGAGGATCACATTTCAAAGCCAATATGGGCAAGAAAGTCCATGAGACTCTTATCTCCAATAAAACACCAGAAAACCAAAAGTGGCTGTGGCTCAAGTGGTAGAGTGCTAGCCTTGAGCTGAAGAGCTGAGGGACAGCGCCCAGGCCCAGAGTTCAAGCCCCATGACCGACCAAAAAAAAAAGAAAGAA